CTTAAATCATCTGTACCATTTGTTTTGACAGTGGCAATCTGTCAATATTTTATATTGTATATTTGTATTTTATTTTAATGTATATATTTTAAAATGTTATTTATGATGTTTTAATTTATTGTTGTAAGCCGCCCCGAGGCTTCGGCGAATGGGGCGGCATAAAAATGTTTTAATAAATAAATAAATAAATAAATAAATAAATAAATAAATAAATAAATAAATCTGTGTTTAGGATCCAATAGGTCCTTTCATTCCTAGATGGGAATAAAGGTGTGACTGGCTTCAAAGTGATTCCAGTTGAACATAATGTAGATGTAAATGTAGATGTATCCTCTTGAAATGGTATATATTCTTCTCCACACATATTAAATTTATGACACAAAAGGTTAAGTTACTTTCTTTATCATATTTTGAGAATTTGCTGGAGACCGTGTGGGTTGCCCTTCACCCAGAGCTGCCTTTCTCCAACTGGGCATTCTACAGGAGTCTTGAGCTGCAAGGCCTACCACTCCAGGCAAGCATGGCCGACTGAGAGTTCAGTCTGGCACCACCACTATCGCCCCCACCCCTGCCATTTGGAGAAGGCTGTGCTAGGAGTTCCTGAGGGTTCTTTCCAAGCTCTCAAATCATAAGCTCAACATAGTTGAGGATGCTGCAGTTCCCAAAAAGCAGGTCAGAATGCCCTCTCAGAAACTTCTCTTGCTTTGTTGCTAAGCTCTTCAATTTGCCATGAGGGAAGAAGCCAATGAGTGCCATAGCAGTTTATCTTTTTTCTTCCCCTCCAATCAAGGTACAAAACAAGTTCTTTCTGTCAAAGAAAAGAATACTGTTAATATCCTGATGCTGATATTATGCTCATACAAGAGGGTCTATCTGTTTTACGGTAAAATGGGGATACCTTTAAGAAGTAGGGTCCCTATCACCATGACTACAGAACTAAAAGACCAACCCAAGAAGCTGAAGCACACAAGAAAATATGGAATGAGAAGGCCACATCTTGACTTAAGGATGATCTCAGGAACAGAACTCAACCATAACTCAGGGACTACCTGTAACTGCAGTTATAGAATAGGATACTGAGTTAAGTGGAACATGGATTATACTGTGAGCACATCTTCAATAGTCACAGACTGCCCTTGCTGGTATGTCTTAACGTGCAGTTAGGAATACAAATGCTAATGAATATTTTCTCCTTGTAATTTCTATTCTATTTGTCTGTCCTTGGTGGGGAGTTTTACCTCCTAAGACTGCCTTTCAGTCCCAACACAGCTCAGTTCTTCAGTTGTAGATAGGCTATGAAGCAACATGGGGAAACAACCCAGAACACAAAGACGTGCAAAAATATTAGGGGGAGAGAGAGAAATCTCTTCAGTTCTCAGTCATTATAAAAGTTCACATTTTACTTGGCTGTTTCCAAAAGAGTGGCAAGATGAGAAAGGATGTCCACTTATGAATGGCCAGAAAAGAGGAAATGCATCATCAAACTGGGAGATAAAAAAGGCATCAATTAGCATAAAAACTGTATTTGAAAATATTCCAGTCTAGATAAGAATGTAGACATTATTATTTTAATTTAAATCTCAGTCTGCTGTCCTGGTGCTTTCTTAATTGGCAGTATTTCTTACAGTTTTTTCATTTAAAACTGGAATGGGACTGTGTAGCCCTTCAAAGAGAGGCGCATCCTCCATAATAGAGGATGCTTGGCCGTGCTAGTTCAGGCTGTTCACCAACCTTTAACAGCAGTTAGCTGAGCAAGTAGATGAGACAGGGCCTTTTCTGTAGTGGCCCCACACGTCTATAATGTATTGCCATTGAGGGTTTGCCAAACTTTTTAAGGTATGCTCTGAATATTTGTTTTCTCTGGCCTTCTTCTCATCGGAATATTCCCAATGAGACTCATCCAATTGCAACTGAGTTCATTGAATCATAGACTAGCAGAGCTAGAAGGGGCCAAGACTGGACCCAAACTCCTGCTAGTCCTCAAAAGTTGTATATTTTACTATTGTCTAGTACAGAGGTTTTCTTGTTGATTTGCTATTTTTAGCAGCTGTTTAATATTTGTTGATTTTATTATTTTTGCTGGTTTCTTACTGCTGTTGCAAACCATCTGTGGAGGGACCATCTGTCCCCAAAGGTAGCCTAGAAATATTTTAAATAAATTAAACACATGTATGGCACTTCTAAGATGCATAATTGTTAAGCAAGTTCTCTGCCAAATATAATTCTGTTCCTTGAACCCCCAAACCATGTTTGGATTGAAAAGCTACTTGCTTCAAGCTGAAGTTGACTGCTTGCTCTGTAATTGCATTACATGCCTAGCTCCCACTGACTGACTGCAGAGGGTAGCTTTGATCTAAAACAGAATCTAAAGCTTACTGTAGGTTTCTGGGGTGGTTCTGAAGCCACCCTATGCGGTGCACCTGGCTGGGTTTGGACTGCATGGTACCAACACAACACATACACAGCCAAGGAAAGGGAGCCACCATGGCTTCTTTTCCTCCTGATCATGTGAACCAGGCTAATACATTCCACACTGCCATTCCCGGCTAATGTCCTTTTCACATGGATTGCAGCAAACCTGGGCAACATTTCCAACATTTTTTTAAAGTACTCTTCATGCATGGGTTTTAATTTTTTTTCCAATCCTAAACCTAAGTATTTTAAGAAAGGAAAGTTTGTTTAAAATTACCCCTTTTTAAAAAAGTCAGAAAGTAAGATGACCAGCCCAGTAGCACACCAGCTGATCAAAAAATAAAAACGTGAAACTTAGATTAGTGCTGGTGAGATGTCTACCAGAAGGCTGCGATATGTAATGTGCCTGCAGGGAGGGGAAGTCTAGCTTTGCAGTCTAATGTCATCGTCCAGAGGCAAATTAGGACAGGCTGCCCGTGAAGCCAGCTATCCCTGTGGCTGCAAAACGATTCCCGCAGAGTTGCTGCTGCGGCTCCAGGCAGCCTGACACCACAGTCATTCCTCCACTCGGTATACCAGTCCTGACAAACCATAACCAGGAAGTCTTTGTATCATCTAATTTAACAGCCATGTCTAACCCAAGGGAATGAAAGAGCCACATCCCTTTGTGCCCCCCCAAAAGATCTGCATTCCAAGGCCCTGGAGGGGCCCGTGGCTTTGTCAGCTGAATCCAAATACTAGGAGATTTTGTGTCTAAGTGCTCTGCAGTTCTGACATGCTGCTGTCATTGGAAACCTAGTGATATTCATCCACAACAGTTGCCCACTAGCTTCTCCCAGACTGCTAGAACAGGATATAGAGACACGAACACACATGTATCAAAAGTGACAAAGCAGATTTTGTTAAAAAAAAGCAGGCAATAACAAATATGGAAGAGGCTTCTGAGCAAAGTCTCAAGGCAGATACCAATATGGAAGAGACAGCTTTACAAAGCGTCTGCCTAAGTGCCCGGCAACAGACTTCCACATATTTACAGATGGGTCATTACACTTAAATGTTAGGTCACATACTCTGATCTTAGCATAAAATGAGAACCTATAATGAAATACATTCTGCTTACCTGAATGCTCTTTGGTTTAGAAGAGAAAATATTTAAAAGTTCATAAACACTCCATGGCAGGAGGACTACAGACGCCTGAATGCATGTTTTCACTCGTGATAAATACAGCTTGAGGCAGCTGCTGCTTACCGACCAAATCCCAGGTCTATATCAATCAAATGCAAGCAAACTAGCCAAACTGGAGAAGTCTTGACCTTATTCTATCCAAATACCCTTCATAAAGTATAGTCTTCTCTACAATTTTGCTTTAATTACAAGTCTGAGCATTTCTCACCACGTCTGGAAAGATCACCCCCAAAGCAAATGGAGGTCATTCTCTAATGGAGCCAACCTGCACTGATCACAGTCACTTGAAATGTGGCAGCAAAACATGAATTACTGTACGTGTATATTTTCTTGCACTGGTGTTAACACAGATAATGTATTGGAATTGCACCTGATAAGGTTAATGGCAGCTTAAGTATGAACTATGCACATCCACCATTTAGGATTCCCCACCTCATTATCTGAGCAGATGTCTTGCTGTATACAGAAAACACAGGGATGAATCAAAAGTGGAAATGGTATTATTCTGAAGTGTTATAAATTATTACTAGTGGCAATAGCATTCCTTTTTTAAAAAATTGTAGTAAGTAGAAGGTCTACTAAAATACAGTAATGTATAGTAAAGTATAATAAGTAGAAGTGTCTCAAGTAAAATAACTAAGAGGTACTTGCCAGAGCAGTTTATAATCCCGATAACTGAATCAGCTGGTAAACATAATTTTTTATTACAAAATAAATTTCAAAATGGGTACAAATACCATTAAAAATGGTGTTTTTGTGAGAAAAAGGAAGCTATTCATCTGACATAATGCAGCTCTTATATTGCTGCACCTGCTATATCTTATTTTGCTACAATTATCTGTGACATCAGAGTTAATAACACTATGGTGATAGTGTGTCTATGTTGCTTTGTTCTGGAAATTGAGAAGAAAGAAAGGTATAAGTGCAAAATCAAGGCAATGAATGAGATGAAAAGCTATTTAGTCCAAAATCACCAAAATATATTCCTGAATACCTCAACTTTCATACATTTCTCTATTCTGATTGGAACTTATTCAGAGTCCAACGTTTTTACAAGGAGACCATTTCAGAAGTTTACACTTACTAATATGGACCAATCATTTTATGCTTCCAAGGAAAAATTATTTTTCCAACTTTTCAATTAAAATGTATTAATGTCCAATTTCTAAGCCATAATTCTTGTAATCCATGATTTTTCTTAATATAACAAAGTTGGCATGTATTCTGGACTACTTCTACAACATCACAGCAACTTGCAGAAAATGCACACAAAGACCCAATTCAAAAGTAATGGCAACCTGTAGTTTAGTGTTCTAAGAACAAGTTCCCTGCTTCACTTTCCCCTTCCCTTCCCTTCCCTTCCGCTCCACACAAAATGGGAGGTGGTAGAAAAATTTCATACCTGGTTAACTGCAGTTAGTTAACAAACCAGAAGTCGCTATAGCTGAAGTGTGGCATACTTCCCCGAATTCTAATGTATCAGAAAACTGTACAACCAAAGCTTTCAGTCTCCTGACAGCAAAAAGGAGGAGGAGAAGCAAACTTGTGAGCAAGACTCACTGTGAGTCATTCTATCTTAGGATTGTGTCTGCACTGGGATATCCTAAAAAGTATAAGTACTCAGCTCTTTACAGAATTGGACTAAGTGAAAAAGCAGCCAACTACACTGATGAGGAACAGCAGTTTCAACAAGTATCTGGAAAGCACCCATTTAAAGAATGATTCAGCCATGCTTACAACATCAACCTAAATTTCTGAGGGTTAGCATACAAGGAAAAATAACACATCTTGTTTGACCATACTTCATTTATCACTACACTTTGCTCACACTAGGGTGAAGTGCTCAATTATGCCTTGTGTGCATCTAAGCATTATTTATAGTTACTTATGTTAGACAGGAGAAGAACAGGAAGACCAGCTATGAGATAAATTGATTCCATGAAGCCTTAAGCTTGCAAGAGCTAAGCAGGACAGGGCGTTATGGAGGGCTTTCATTCACGGGGTTGCTGTAAGTCGGAGACAACTTGACAGCAAGTAACAAGAAATGTATTGCACTAATATACTGCCTTTTGGCCAAGGCACCCACAGCTGTTTATAATGCTCACATATGAAAGCAACCAAAGGTTACAAAATACAGAGCCATAAAACACTAGTGTCAGCACTGAAGTGTTACCCTGCTGTTAGATTCAAGGGTAAAGACCTACCTCTCTTCAACATATCCCACTATGAAATTTGTCAATGGAAAACGTTGCTCCTAAAATACCCAACATGCAACAGGTCTCATCCTTTACTTGTATATCTTTCTAATTTATTAAGTAAAGGTTTCATATCCTGGTTGGTAGTTTGCAAAATTCTACACACTTGCTGCATGAGCAGTAACAACAAAAAGACATCAAAGATGCTTGTTTAGGGTCAAAAGGGTATGGACAAGTCTCACCTGACCTTTAAAAAGAAACACACACAAATATGCTCACACAAATAGCTCAAAATGAGTTCTCAGCTTGCAGACATAAGGATGTGCTACTAGTTCAGTAGCACCAGAAGCAGGAAACAGCCAGGAACAAATTCATGATAGCCGCTGTAAACTTAGCACACATCACTAGGCTGCTGGGCACACAGACACCCTAACCCAATGGGTTCAAGTTTGCATGAAACACCACTTCACCTCCACAGAAGGCTGTGAACATCAGCTACTTTTTCCCATTACAGAGGCAGTTCGGCTCATATAACATAATGCCTTCCTTTCCACCCTCCAGTACTGAAGGCCCGGAAGCTGCTTGTACACACACACAAACACACACACACACACACACAATCCCTGAGCATCACAACTATAGCCTCTCTGTATTACCAACTGCTAGTATGCCCATTGTACCAGAATTCAAGGCTTACTAGCTAATGGTGTTTGTTGGCAAGCACAAAACTTTTGGCATTATTTGCACTGGGTTTAACAGGTTTTATGAACTGGTCTACAGAACAAAAATAATTGTGCTATCTTTAAGTGATTATGTACCCTCATCCAAAATTGAGATGATGAAGAAAGAGATATTTCACAACTCCCACAAGGTAAATACCGAAGTATCTTAAGAAAGTTAAATGTACTAAAACAAAAACGTTTGAGCTGACAGAAGGGCCGTCCTGAGCGCTTGTCGGAAGGACAGGATATAAATGTTTGTAAGAGATAGATAGATAGATAGGACACTTAAGTCTTGTTTGTTAGGATCAGTTTTTCTTCCTGAAACCCCTGGAGCATTTTTAACCATCACATTTTATCTTGGCTGGGGCAAAAAGTGACACAGTGACACAGGCCAACAGACTGGACTGCTTGTTAAAGTTTTTTTTTTGGGGGGGGGGTATCCTGGGCAGTTTTTGCCTGTAGAAAAAAAATTCTGTATGGGTCCTTAATCCTATTTCCCTAGATCACTTTTTGTATGTAAAATGTTATCCTGGCACTTTTCAGGGGACTGGGGTAAAAAGAGATCCCGATGCCTTGGGATGCTTTTATATCTTAAGGCACAATCCTATGCGAATTTAGACAGAAGGGAAAAAAGCCTACAGCTCCCAGCAAACTGGGGCATGCTGGAAGTCATAGGCCCTTTTTCTGTCTAATCTCCGTAGGATTGCTCTGTCAGGCACTTTTTGGTTTATTTTTTTTTAAACCCCTGTAAATAGGCTGAAATTTGGAGATATTATTTACTACTGTGCAGTGACAAAGGGCTACAGGGACAACACAGGCCTGTTTCTGGGTAAATGCTGCAGTGAAAAGTGCACCGACTGGATTTTTGTCCTCAGAGTATGGAAAGATTAACCACCAGTGTGTGTAGTGGTTAGAGTGCTAGAGGGGGACTTGGGAGATCCAGGTTTTAATCCCTGCTGGAAGCCACTCAAGTGTTCAGCGTAATTTCTCTCAAAACGTTCTTTTCAGAATAAAATGGAGGAAAGCCACAAAAGCTTCCTTGGGTTCCTTGCAAGGTGGAAACAAGGTGCAATACAAACATACTAATAAACATAGATTGACAAGACAGTTGTCCAATCTGCCATTTCTGTACTGCAGCCAAATTCCACATGCCTTTAAAAAGAATTGATACAATCTGCTGTAAAGGGGAAAGTTATGCATAATCACAGACTGTACAATATATACAAAATGTTGGTAAATTCCACTTGGGGTTTTTTACTTCATGTGTAACAGGTATATTTCAGATTGTTGTATATGTACATTATTTGCCACGTCTATTGGCAAATAATTGGGTGATACGAAATTGGTAAGCTTATGGTTATGTTCTGGAGAGATACCAAAGTAAGCTTCTAAGATAAAGCAGATGCATATATTTGAGTCTTTTAAAAACTGTATATGCACCTACATTTAGAATCAAATATTTCCCTGGTATAGAAGTGCTGTCATGCTAGGAATTGTGACAATGTGCAGCCTTGAAATAATATTTTTGGGCAAAATAAAACAATACTTTTTAAAGAAATGCTGTCAATCCTAGTTCCCTGGCATCTAGGAATCTATCCCTAGTTCTGTTTCTACTGAGAGCACCACATTTATTTAACTCTAACTCACCGTTAGCCTCTTGGAGCCCACAGCATAGAGAAGGATATACATCTAACCAACAGAAACATTTCAAAAATTGTACATCCTCAAGTTAACCTGAAAAAACACTCTGGTAGAGGCTGTTACAAAATCTTTTGGAAAGTGTGTGACCACTAGCTTATTCACTTCCATAGCGTGAATTACTGAAAAGTAACAGTTTTAGTAATCGTCTGTAGTTTTATCAACCGCTAAAGAGTTACAGCACAATTGCACCCCCCCCCCAATCCAACAGAACCTTTGCTTCTAATAATCAGAGTCACTGATACCTAAATCCCATTTACATGCTACACTTTGCACTTCAGTGGCTCATACAAAATTATTTTTATTATAGAAGCATCAGTGAAGAAAACCTTTTAAGTTTAAAAATATCACTGCCAAACCTATGGGAAAAAAGACACTATTTTAATGTCATTTCAGTATGTCCAGGATAAAACTTGAAGGATGTGGGATGGAGAGAAAGCAACCAAGACAATAGGATTTGGGTCCCCCACCCTAGGAAATCTGGAAAGAAGAATTTTATAGGAAGAATTTTATACATACTAAATGTACTTCACAAAAGGAGGAAAGATATCTTTTAAGGTGGAAAACTCAGTTCCTTTATTTGAGATTTTTTAAAGCAAAGTATCTATAACTTTTTCTAACTTTTTGCAGTGGACATGTCAAGAAGCAAACATAAGATGGAATAAATTCTCCACATTGCAGATCTCGCTATTAAAGCAGGAATTGTCTTCTTGTACTGAAATACTCCACAAAGGCAATTGACAGGCAAGGTACACCGAGGAATGGAAGCTGCATGGACCAAAGGCTCTTTTCTAGGGTTTGCTTTCATAGGGCAGTTACCTATCCTGGATGCTGCCTTGCCAAGCTTGACAACTCAAGGGGCCAGTGGCAAAAGGCACCGCACAGCAAAGAAATACATCATTCACCTTTAACCTACTCATTTTCTTACATGCAAAAACTCAGCAAATATTCATGATGCATCCAAAATATAAAGTAAGTCTCCTGCTAAAGTCAAATGCTCATCTGTTGTTATGGCTAAAACAATGAAACTGCATTTAAATGAGCAGCTCAAACATTTGGCATTTTGCGGCAGATTTTGTCATGTTATTATGAATTTGTAACTGGTCAGCAACCAACATGATAAATGCAAAACTTTTCAATTAAAATTGTACCTACCTAAACAACTAATGGTATGAACCTGTGCCTACTCAGAGGTAAGCATAATTTAATTCAGTGGGACTTGCTCAGATAAGCATATATAAAATAGTATGCTAAAACCCTGATATTTTTAAAAATTTAATTCCTTATTATGTAATGCGGTAGGGATAGTTGCTTCACACCTGTATAATATGAGCGAATGTGTACATTTATCTACCATTTAAAGATTTAAAGATCACAGGATATTTGAAAAAGTGAATGGTGAAGTTTTACAGACCAAGCACTATTTATATACAGTGCCACACTGACGTATAGATTTTTGTTTTAAAAAAAGAGGCTCCAATTGTATTTAGATGACGCAACGCTGAATTAAGTAACATGTGAGTCACTAGGAGACCTCAAAACACTGCATTGACTATATAGTCATAACTGAAAGCTATTTTAGCTGAACAAAACAAAGATGCTCTGAGATTGTTCTGGAGAAATAGTGTTCTTTCTAGCAGTGCTGGGCAGCATCTCACAATTATGCAACATATATAAAGAACTCTGGTTTTAATTTTGTTGACACCTAACAAGTGAAGGGAATATTTAAGTTGCCAGACTTTTATTGTTTCTACTTACTGAGGAGCTGTTTGTCGTTGACCCAGGAGCACTAGAATTGTCCTGTCCAGAAGGCTGACCGTTATCATTAGTCCCACGAGTTACAAGAATCCTGAAGTGCTGCTGCCTTGCATTCTGATCCGGGCAGATTTTAAATGTGCACCCTTGCCCTGGAGAAACCCGCTCCACAGAATTGCTTCTGGATATTTCAGAACCATTCATGCCGTTTCCACAAAGTGCAGGATTCACACCACTGTCCTCCATGGGGCTAACCCGTTCTGGCTGCAGCTGAACTGGGTAAGAGGTACTCCTCTCTAGGCGTATCCGTGGATACCTGACTAACCGATCTCCTTTTGTTCCAGTAAAACCAAAATTGTAATCTGCTCCTGCATTGTTCGACTGAGACTGCTGCAGTTGGAAAACAAACAGTTTTTTCCCTGAATTGGCCGACCCATCTGGCAGATGCTGCAAAGACCAGCGCCTGGGTTCAGAAGCAGAAGCATGGTTCTGAGACTCTGAACCGAAGGGCATCAGCGTAACATGAGGCATGTCCACACTTGAAGCCCGATGCTGAATCCTTACCCCGCTAATGTTTAAGTCCAGTGCAGCTTTGCTTGCGTCATCATCTTGCTCAGCGGCTGCACCGCTGTCGTTCCAGTTACAAGAAGGTATTGTACAAAATATTCTGTGATTGGCGGGCCCTCCATTAATCTCAGGTCCAATATTCTCAGGTTGTGTGGGTGGAGAATTCTCTGGGGTTACCTGTGCACTACCTGGAGGAGAATGGCTTCCAACAAGGGACGCATAATGCTCCCCCAAATCTGAAAGGTTACATGTCTCATCTGGGGAGGCTTCTGAGCCCCCACATTCGTCAGCATGCCCATTGACAGCCTTGCGCTGAAGGGAGATCAGCATGGATGAGCTCCTAGTTGGGCGCACATCAATGTTGTTCAGAAGCTGAGGAATAAACATGGAGGTGCTCCTTTTCAAAGAGCCTGCTTCCTGCACAGTGCCACCCCCTTCGCCATAATCCATTCTGTGCCTGGAGAACGGGTGAGGCCCATTCCGTCTTGGTAAAGTGTGGAATGCCATGAAAAAGTCATCATCTTCTCTCTCACGGTCTAGGATCTCCGATTCAGGAGCTGTGTTGCTTCGTCCGGAGCCAAAATGAAACCGCAGCCGATGGGCCATGGTTTCGGGAGAAAGGAGAGGGGGGAAAACGGCAACAAGTCCAGGCACTGCCAGAAGTTAAGAACTGAAGACATAAACTCCAAGAAAAAGTGTCCCATCTGCCAAACGGTTAGCACTGCTATACTGATAGCGACAGATAGCAGAAATAGCCCAAGTGGCAGGCGGCGTTCCATGCGTGATTGGATAAGAGCAATCAGCGCTCCTCCACACTGTGACAGAGGGTAGGATGGCTGGCATCACATGACCCATTTCCCCCTCTCCAGCGCAAGCGACTATTTTTTTTCTTTAATACCAGCAAGAGCCTGAAACAGCTGCTCCTTTTCCATCAGAAAAGAGCAGCCCCAGCGGGAGATCTCTCACAGCTGACTAAGGCAGCAAACGCACTCGGCTCTGCTATAAATCTAAACTGCATCATATTCAGAGAAACTTTTGAGATGAAGTGCAAAAAGAGGGAGAAGAGAAAGCCACCCACACCGCACCGTCATACAATATTCCATCCTCTGTTCCTGCGAAAAATCTTCTTCACTTCTGCACTGAAGTTCCCAGGAATCACCAAAATGGCTGGAGAAAGGCATATACACACTCGCACAGAGAGTTTTCGTTTGTTTAAAGTTGGCCGACGCTTTCAAACATCATCCTGCTACTCCAAATAAATAAAAGCGAATAGCTAGGAAGCAAATCTTAGTCCTCCTCCTGCTTAAAGTGATTTCAGTAGCAATCTATTCACCGTAGCAACAGACACAGATATCAGATTGCGACCGTAAACGAACTATAATAACCCGCTTCAGCTATACGCAGATCTTTCTGGGAGGAAAAAAGAACAGAAATTCTTACATGCATAGTTCAAGCAGCAGACGGTAGCAAGCAAAGGACTTCCTTTTGCAGTTTTGAGGAGGACGGGAGGGCAAACCAAGTCTGGAACAGGGGTGTACAGAGTTGACTTAAACTGCTGTACAGAAATGCTGCCCAACTCTGGCAACCTTCCAGGGAGAAAGTTAGCAATATTAGTAAGCTAGAGTGCCAGCATGGAAAAGACCTCTGCTCTGTTAGGAGCCAAAAAGCAGCAGAAGCACAAACAGATGAACTGAAAAGCCAATTTAAACAATGCCCGAATTCGGCTGTGCTATGTGCAGTGGTTTAGATAAAACCACGGGTGGGGGACAGCTGAGGAGCAGTCTGAAAATGCTCTTCCAGTGTGAATGAGGGGCCGAGTCAATGAAACCAAATGCCTTGCTGCAGAGGGAAAGGAAACAACTTACTTTATAAATGAAAGCCCCATAACAACAGCTATGAAATATCATGTGGGTGGTGAGTCAGAATCACATCCTAGCCATTTAAGCCTCTATTTTCTAATAGCTGGTTTTCACATGGAGAAAGAAAGTAGTCCTGATTTTACAAGATTAAAAAGAAAACACACAGGAGTACCTTTTAAACCAAAGCCCATATAACCTGCACTACAAGACAAAAGGAATGAAAAACAAATAAAAACAAAAACACTGTGATTGTTAATTACATTATCATCACCCTCATCACCACCTGTGGGGATGACCCAGAATGTCTGCGGGGGTTTTAGCATTATTTTAGCAGGGATTTCAGGCTGCAGGACGTATTCCCATGGTATACAAGCCAGCCAGCCTTCAGTTTGGCACTAAAATTACCCTTTGTACACAGGAGCTTCAACCAACTCGACTCCTGTGGGTGTGGGATTTGATATGCGCCCTCAGATCTCCCTCACTTCCAAGGACATCAATATTCCTTTCAATGGAGAGACAGCTCAGTGCATGTCCTACACAGAATCTGACAACGTAAATCAAACCAGCTACTTTCCCTTTCACAAATACAAGTCTGGAACTCCAGGAAGGATGCTTGGGTGAGGGGGCAATTTGTAGCAAGAAGAAGTGAGCAGAGAAAAGATTATGTAGCTACTTAAATATCACGACTCAAACCCACTTTCCTTTAAAATAAAATGTTTGGGCCTCCACTGCTTGAAATATGAGTTGTCATTTATATATTAAACTTTATAAATTTTATGGCTATCCTTTCCACCAAGATAAGCCTCTGAGGTGGCTTAGAACCGACACTTTAAACAGAGCTGATTATTAAAAAATGGAGCAAGACCCAAAGGACAACAACAAAATAAGAGCAGGCTATCAACAGCCAATAAGAAATAGATAAGAATTACCAGCATATTGTTAAGCTACCAAAGGTTTGAACAATTTTTGTTAAAGTCTTTAGTTTGGGTCATTTTTACACACATACCAAAGTGCATTCCCCCCCCCCCCGCCCCAGCTAGTGCTGTTACTTTGCACACTCTGTAGCTGGGCACCTTTCTTTTTCTTCTTTAGAAAGTTCAAGGGAGAATTTTGGGGATAGTGGAGGCTACATACAACCTAAGGACAACATGTTGCCCATATCTGCTCTGTGTGATGTCTAAAGAATGGAAAGGTAGGGAACTGGCAGACAAGCCTTGTCTGCCACCACAGAGAAGGCTCCGTCCCTAACAGACAGGGGGCAATCTGGAACAATTGGACTTCCCAGTTCAGGGACCAGATTTCTCTCTTTCATCAATCCCATTCTGCTCAGTCATCAAACCTGGACCACTTATAATGCTACAATCATCCTATTTTCATGCTCACATGTGCTACGTTTTGAGAAGTCATAGGCAACTTTCGCATAACATAGACAAGAAAAAAGTGCAATATCATGGGAGAGAAAGGAGCCATTACTTGTTCATGAATAAGATAAATACAGAAGGGAACACTCACCAATCTATTTTCATCGAACACTTCAAAAAGCAGTCTATGGTTAGATGGATTTACCTGTGAGATATAACAGAAATAAAGAATATCATTATATTTCTTTTTAGAGCAGATTAGTAAGTACATCAGTTACTTAGTTCAAGGGTTTCAAGCTTTTTTTTAACAGCACAATACTACTGTTACCTATTTACTCAGAAGCAAGTCCCATTGTGTTCAGGAATAAGTGCGTTTAGCACTGCTGCTTAAATGTACCTGAATAGGCAGACAGACACTTGGAGTGCCAAAGGCAGCCCAATCAAAGACAAGGTATGGGGGTGAGTCAGAGTTTCATACCCTTAATCAAGCTTGAAGTTAGACTGAGCTGCAGCTGGAGGCCCTGCCTCCTCTTTAACGCTAGACAGGAGTTTGCCTCTCAGCTCCAGAGGTAGCACCGTATCCTTTCTGGCTTTTTTATTTTTTATTTATTTGCCCAGAGGGGAAAATCAGGGAGCTCCCTTTTTTCTGTTTTTGGGACCTGAAAATCCAGAAAAATAGGAAACTGTTCCACAAGATTCATTCCCACTGCATGTCCACAGACAAAGAGTACAGAAATGCAAGGAAACAATTCAGCCTTCTTTGTTGGCTCGACGGAAGCTAGGGTTGCCCAACTGCAACCCAGAAATCACACCTATATTTCAGAGATCTGCAGATAAAAAAGAGAATGAAGCAATAGTATACTGGTCCTGCTCTTCCCTGACTCAGCTCCTCCAGTCCATCCAGCCCTCCCCTCTGAGGTGATGCAATCAAAGAGAAGAGAAAGCTTTCTGTTTCTGACAGGTGATCTTCCAGGTTGAAACCTGGTAGACTTATTCAAGATGAAAGCAGAACTGAATCTAAGAAATTTAAGAAAGGGAGTTTGCTAATCTACTAAAAAAGACCATGCAGCTGCATCTGGCTGTTTACTTTAAAAATCCAAGGACTGCATTTATTTTCCCTGCAGGAATTCATAAAGGACACTTCAGTGCCTCAGTATTTCAGAATGAGTTACTTATTGTCCACAATATTTTACTTC